CCAATGCAAACGTCGTCCAACTTTCACTAACGTCACACATCCTACTCGAGGCGTGTAGCTTAATAAGATACAACTTTTTAAAAACTCAAGACATGCGTGCCATGTGATCGTATCAAATTCATCTAAAAAGTTGACGTCGCGATAGGAAAAGGACTGCAAGTATACACAGATTATATATATAAAAAAAAATATTCTCATTTCTTACATTTCTCGACTATTGAGTAAACATGATTTGATTCGTTTTCTACAATAACTGTATAAACAGTTACAGTAGATATTGTACCCTTCCCGGTTCAATCACTCATGAAACTATTTTCTTGACCGACAACAACATGTGACCAGCCACTTAAACTCCCAAGTAAATAGTATAAAGGTATTGAAGAAATATAATATTTTAATTCAACCGATGGTCCTATAATATCCTAAATAATGTCGAGTTCACTTCCGGACGTGCTCACAACGTCAACAACTCGCACCTTGACATTAATAAATGTTTAATAGCCACTTTGCATTATTAAAAACAGAAGTCACTACAATTATTATAAAGGATATATTCTCGTGTCTCGACCAAGAACACTGTACACTCACTAAAATACCGCCTGTCATCTTATCCTAACAAATATAATATTGTCGAAATGGACATTTCATTTTGTTTATTTTCATTAGACGAGAAAATTGGCTTTATTATATAACTGCAGGATATACCTTAGCGTGAGTATTATTATTATTAGCGAACAATGTAACATATTAATAAATTAAAGAGATTTAATTTATTCCCACATTCCGAGTAATGTATATTCATAAAGTGTAAAAAATTTCTTTGCAAACATTCACATAGTACATAGGTAGTATGTATGGCAGAACACTCTACCAAAAGGTTAATTCAACGTGTTGTAGTAATTTGCCACTTCGTAACAATATACTATTTTAAAAACAAATACACTATACAACAGTTAATTTATTCACCATTAGATTTTTCGTATAAAAAAAAAAAAAAATGAAAACAAACAAAAAATGTAAAGATCAACAATTAATGTTTGACACAATGTATCAATCGAGATCGGTGACAATGCTTTCTTATTTTCGGTTTCATCGATATTATTTTTTGATCACGAACTGTGAATCAATTTCAAAAAATTCTTTCACAATAAACGCATATATGATGTACCAAAAAAATTCATAATTATAAGCTAAACCAATATTGAACGCAAAACATAAAAGGTCCTATACATGGGAATTCTAAATACCAAAACACGACTTGATCAAAAACACTTAGGTAATTTAAAATATTTATAATTAAAAAAGGATTGATTTTATCACCCTCTATTTGTTTAAACAAAGTTTTTACTTTTATATCGATGATATTATATAATATGTATTGGAAAAGTATTTAATTATATAAAAATGAAATATTTTACTCTACTAATTTGGATATCTTGTATAATAATTGTATTATACTCATTTGTTTTCTAAATAATTACATAGTACACAGAACTTTTCACTATGTTATTTATACTGAAAATATTTTATCTGAACACTTAGTTTTTAGTGCTTAAAATATTAATTACTTTTAATTTATACATCTCCATATACCTGCGTGCATTTTCAGTTTCTAACAATATAGTCGCTCAAAAGATATAATGAATATTGTGTATGCTTAACGTAAACTACATGGGTGTAGCTCATTGTGTTTCGTGCATGAAAATAGCTATTTTATATATTGTAATAATTTCGAATAAAACAAATTATATAGTAAAATTTAATTTACGATGCCAATTCAATTATTCAACATTAAATTGTATGTGTAAAAATCACAATATAATAAAAGTGTAAGTTGAAAACATGTTACCCATTAATTAATATAAATTAAAATTAAACATTATATAATTATATTTAAAACACGATTTAGGGTCATATAGTTTATTTTATTTATAATAATCTATTATTTATATACATATCTAAATATTGTACATATTACGTGAACGCTTGTAAACAAGAATAAATAAGGTATATTTATTGATTGTTATTAATATGGAAAATTAACAACCATTATTGCAAATAGTAAGTTTTGGAAATATTTAGAATTCACATCAAAAGTTATTTTTTATATTTTAGCCTCATATGAGCTATTTATAAAGATAATGGTACTATAATATTATATTATCTACTTAATAAACATAAATTATTCAATCCATGCATGCAACGGTAGTATAATGTAGGTACAAAATAATTAATTGTTGTCTTTTCAAAATTGCCAAACATTATAAATTATTAAAAGGGTTTTTATAAATATTTAAATTTTACGTTAAACTGGTGTACAATAGGAAATCAGTAGTCGATGAAATATTTTCTTCACATAATTTGGTAGTCTGACTTTAAAATATTGAAAATGTATTTCAAGTGTACTGTCTATGTTATCCAGCCTAATGCAGAATTTATGGAACCTGAATGGTCATAAAATAGTTAATTATTATACTTAGCATAATATTCAACAATGTATAATATTGTACAAAGTTGGTAGTTTCGTATAATGTCGAAACATAAAACAAAACAATAACAGAATATATTAATTCCTCGATAATTCCTAATATTTTTTATGAACACATATTATTATAGGTACTAATAAATAAGAATGTCTACAATGTATGAGGTTTTATTATTAATAGTTTACAATACTAAAAATCGCAGTTTTTATTATATAGAAGAAATTAAAATATAATTTTGAAACAAATATCGTCTTGTACAACGTTAAAGTATAGAGCTCAACTTAAAACCAAAATTTATAAAACATTAAGATTAAAATTAACATTTAAATGTGATGTAATAAGACCAAACGCGATTAATTCAAAATAATAATCCCCATCTTAGTATGTACATATTATAAAATTACAACATCGAGCACACGTTCCAAAATAATTAACATTTCTTACCCTAGAGATGAGTTTTTTTGAAATGTAGTTAAACATCATATTATCAAATCAATAATACTAAAGTAAATGTTCATCTTCTATCCCTAGAGTACAATTAGTCTAAATAATTTATACTAAGGGGAGCATTAGGTAAGGCAATTTGTAACTGGGAATAATAACTCTCAGTTACTTTTACTCCCTATAGTCATATTATACCCTCGAATATTAATAGTCAAGGACAAAAATTCTCTGTGATATTAGTACCCGAGGGCTATACCGAAAAAGAAAAATTATGGTAACTATTAAACGTTCAACAGTATTTGCATATTTCTAATAACATACTGACACACTGTTAAATATTTTCGTTAGTATTTCGTAAATATAATTCATCGTACCAATATATTATGAATATATATGCTTAGAATGATATATCTTTAAATAATACATTTATATAGATAGCCATATTATTTTTATAAATGTATCAACAATTATAAGTTGGCGTATAATGTACCTTACCTTTGAGGCATTCGAAATAAACGAACTGCAAGTTTTTATATTTTACGTTCTAGTGGTTTTAAAGATTCAACCATTGATTTATAATACAATTTAAAATACTTATTGAAAACTTGTTTTAATCTAATATTGATAAAGAAACGTCAAGAGCTCAGAAATTTGTGTCGTTAAATTGAGAAAATATATGACTCAAGCATTTCATATATTGTTGTATGAATGCACCTACCCGATGAACGGAATCTCATTGTATTGTATGTACATTCTATATATACACAATTTTATTTATAAATAAATTACTATTGATTAGTATTTATTAAAATCATGAATTAATAATAATTGCGATTCAAAAGTTTCATCAATAAGTTATACTAATATTCAATTGTAGGTTTCTTTTTTTGTTTGTGCGTTCTTTTAGTGATTGCATACTTGACTGGATGTACAAAGTACAAACATTTTTAATTCAATACTGAAGTCGAAATAAATATAAATAGCACAAAATATATTGTTATTAAATAGTTTACATTTTCATACATAATTTTATATACAATATTTCAATAGACATTAAACACTAACAGTTAATATAAACTATAATGCAAATACAAAGAATGAACTTATCATAGAATACTTAAAGTAGAAAATACAATTTATGATTTTTAATTTAAATACTTATTTCGTTTTTATGTAAAATTATATATAAAAAAAAAATATTATTTTGAATGTTCCATGAGATATACAAGAACAAATATATATTATAATGTGGTTAGGTTATGGTTTAAAAAAAAAAAAATAGAATTTTTACATTTTAAAAATATTATTATAATAATTATAAAAATAATAATAATAAATGGTCTATGGCACTTCGTAGTGGCAATCGTGCTAAACGCTATTACATAATATAAACATAATATATATATATATATAAATATATTAATAATTTAACATTCCAACAATTTCGATAATCAAATGATGCTTTTATTTAATTTACTATCAAAAATACACATCCAGTTGCATTCAAAACACGAACTAATCTCATGAATATTTTTCATATCCAAAATGGCTTTCTGTACTATTTTTATTGTGTTACAATTCGCATTTATATCTGTCGTACCTTACACTCACAAGTTTACTCTCACTTTTTAGATTAAAATATTCGTCGTTCACGATTTAAAACAAAATAAGGCACGATGTTTTTATTCCGAGTTCGTGATAAGCTAGTCGTGAAAAAATCTGTGCTTGGTAACTACGTCGTCAATATGAAATAATAATAGAGCGATTACCCTGTCAAGATAATAAAGTATTTAGACAATTATTATAGAACGTTTTCATACGTGAATGTTCGTACTGATGTAAGTATAATGCTTTTGGGCGATACGTTATTCCCTTTAAATGGCGATTCGAATGAATGCGAGCACTTTCTTCCTCGTTATTACAGTTGTCAATTTGAATGCAACCAAAGGTTGGGGAGTTGGAACTGTCAAATATAATAGTAGGATTACTTTTAGACTATACATATACCTAATTGTGTATTATATATTTATATATATTATATAAATATATAAATCTATTGTACTACAATAATTATTTTCCTGTACTCGACAACGAGTTGGTTGAGCTTTCATCAGTCTTAGGAGTCGATTGTTGTAGATATGCCTGTGATACAGCTTGAGGTGTTGATTCACTGTACACATAATTCACTTTTGGCGACTTGTATGAAACGAAGTTTCCATTCGACACCTCATTCACGCTCAAATGGTTAATTTCACTGAGTAGAGTTTCCGTGCCTTGAGCAGGCTGTCCTTTTCCGTCTCTAGTACTGTAGAACAGAGCCATTTCTTGTTTTTTACTTGCGGAATTTTCTGGCCACTCAGTACTTGTGTTGGCCGCAGCCGTCGCGACTTGTCTCACTTCCGATCCTTGTGGTTGGTTATCGTATGAATTATCTGATTTCTGTTGATTCTCTATGGCTGACAAAATGTCTTGAAGTAACCCATTAGAAAGTACTTGATCATGAGCGACATTTTCACCACCTCTTTGACCTGGTTGGATTTGGAGCATGTAGTTGCCAGTAGACCCTTGAACAGGGTACTCTTGTAAGCCATTTATGTCTACAGATTTTGAACCAACAACGGAGGAACCTTCTAAACCTAATGAATTTACAATATCGTTAACATCCACTCCATCCGGTTGATGTTGATAATTATTATTTTCTGGTTGCTGTTGATAATTATTATTTTCTGGTTGCTGTAAATTATTCTCTGCGTCTCTCAGTTGTGGGTGATTTTTGCTTTCTTCAATTTGTTGATTTAAGTCGAATGATTGCTGTGGAGTTCCATAGTTATCAACATTTGATAATGAAAGTTGATTTGGTTGAACATAACTGTTGGGTTCTTGAGCTGCATTTTTTACTGAAACTGTTTGTGTTATATGCTGATAAGATTCAGGAGCTGGTATAGCGTACGACGTAGATAATCCTTGGTTGTGTACTACATTGCTTTGTGTATCTTGTGTAGCTGGGATATTATATTGTTGTTGATCTTGAGGAATGATTGGACTTGACTCTAAATTTGGACTACTGTAACCCTTAGAACTTGATGGAGCAGCATATGCATCATTTCCAGATGTTGATACTTCTGATACTGGAGGAGGTATGTATGGTTCACCTTGGAAACTATTATACTGTGTTGATTCTACAAGGCCCGGTGGAACTGGTGCCCTATTTTTCACTGGATTTTTCGGCTGAAGATTAGGCCCAGGTATTTGTCTTCCAGAGGCTTGTCCATAGGTTAACCCATACTGAATGTCTGAAGGCTTTTGTGACACTAAATCTGGTGGTGGTGTACCACAACAGATAGCTATGGGTGTACCGAAAGTACCTTCTGGAGGAAGACCATTATATGAGGTGCCTGACGGTGAGGCATACTGTACTTGCAATGAATTATCAATAAAACCTAGAGAAGGAATTCCATATGTGTCCTTAATGGGAGGAAGTCCAAAAGAATCTTTAGATGGGACTCCATATGATTCACTTGGTGGCACTCCGTATGAATCTTTTGGCGGTGGTGGAGGATATACGGGTTTAGATGGTGAGCCATAAGACTCCTTAGGTGGCCCTAATGATCCAATTGATGGTAAACCATATGATTCTTTAGGTGGCCCATAAGAATCTTTAGGTGGCCCAAATGATCCAATTGATGGTAGTCCATAAGATTCTTTCGGTGGGCCAAATGATCCACTTGGTGGAGGTCTATGTGATTCTTTCGAAGGAGCACCATAAGAACTACTTGGTGGTGGTCCGTATGAACTTTTTGGAGGTGATCCGTATGATCCACTTGGTGGAGGTCCATATGAATCTTTGGGAGGTGGTCCATATGAATCTTTGGGAGGGGGTCCATATGATCCAGTTGGAGGTGGCCCGTATGATCCACTTGGTGGTGGTCCATGTGATTCTTTTGTAGGTGGGCGGTATGAAGGTTTATGTGGTGATCCGTAAGATCCAATTGGAGGTGGTCCGTATGAACTTTTCGGAGGTGGTCCGTATGATCCACTTGGTGGAGGTCCATATGATCCAGTTGGAGGTGGCCCGTATGATCCACTTGGTGGTGGTCCATGGGATTCTTTAGGTGGTGGGCCATATGAGCCACTAGGTGGTCCATACGAATCTTTTGGAGGGGGTCCGTATGATCCAGTTGGAGGTGGCCCGTATGATCCACTTGGTGGAGGTCCATGTGATTCTTTAGGTGGTGGGCCATATGAACCACTAGGAGGTGGACCATAAGAATCTTTTGGAGGCGGTCCATAAGAATCTTTGGGAGGTGGCCCATATGATCCACTTGGTGGAGGTCCATATGAATCTTTGGGAGGTGGTCCATATGATCCAGTTGGAGGTGGCCCGTATGATCCACTTGGTGGTGGTCCGTGGGATTCTTTAGGTGGTGGGCTATACAAACCACTAGGTGGTGGGCCATATGAACCACTTGGTGGTGGTCCATACGAATCTTTTGGAGGGGGTCCGTATGATCCACTTGGTGGAGGTCCATGGGATTCTTTAGGTGGTGGGCCATATGAACCACTAGGAGGTGAACCATAAGAATCTTTTGGAGGCGGTCCATACGAATCTTTTGGAGGGGGTCCAAGTGATTCCTTAGGTGGTGAGCCATATGAACCACTTGGTGGCGGACCATAGGAATCTTTCGGAGGAGGTCCATATGATCCACTTGGTGGTGGTCCATGTGACTCTTTAGGTGGTTGGCCATAAGTTCCACTGGGTGGAGGTCCATATGAGTCAGAAGGTTGCTTAGAAGGTGTTGGAGGCCCATAACTTGTATCTGGTATAATTGGTGGTGACTTATATAAATTGACCAACGACTGAGCATTAGAGTTTCCATGATAAGAATTTCCATCTTTTGGTGGACCGTAGTCCGAACTTGGAGAATTTTGACTGTACGATGGTAATTCTGGTGGTGGTGAACCTCCGTAAGAAGTGTCTATTGAGTTGATATTGTTATTGCAACAGCCTCCTGCTTGAGACAGTGGTGGTCCATACGCAGTTCCTAAGGATGACTGTTCGTAACCGTTATTTTTTTGAACATATGGGATTGATACACCCGGAATTGGTTGCCAGCCATGGTAAGAGATATGAGGTGGGGTTGGCGGGGATGGTACACCCGGAGGCCCTTTTGCATAAGACACTGATGGAACACCATAAGAAGGACTCGGAGGTCCAGATGGCGGGCCGTACACGGAGTTCGGTATCTGAGGAGCGCCATTTTCTGGTTTTGGTGGCAACCCGTATGAATCTTGTGGAGGTGGCCCATAATCCGGCTTTAGGGGTTTATAACTGGGTTTTGGAAGTCCGTATATCGGTTTTGGTGGACCATAAGAGTTCGATGGAAGTCCATAATTAACATTGGGTGCCTTTAAATCAGATGTAATATAAGTCTGTGGTGGTCCGTAGTTAACCTGAATAGGGCCAAACGAAGGAGGTGGCGCACCGTAAGAATCTGATGGTACGCCAAGACTTGCATCTCTTCTTGTCGGTGACTTCTCATCATTTGCACCAGAATTGATCACTGCGTTTGTGGTGGCTATCAGCAATAGACACACAAAACACTTCTGAAACAAGTACGTTATAATATTAGTTAGTTCAAAGTTGTGAGAATGCTATTTATTTAATTTGTAATACGATTCTTTAAAATATAATAACGAAACATAATTAAACGAGATGTACAGGAACTGCGTTTATAAGACTTTCCTTTTTGCTCATTAAGCAATAATTCGGGTTTAAAAAATATACAGTGATGTCAAGATTTACTGCTGACAATGACACACAACATTAGAAATACATTGTCTTGGCAGATGAAGAACAGCATACCGATTACTGACTATAATCAAGTGTAGTGCTTAGTAATTATGTGTTGTCCGATTAATTCAAACTTTCCCCGTCCGTTTAAGATGCATTCTAGTACTAACAAAATCAAATAATATAACGAGCATAAATGCAAGTACGGCTGCAGTAGGTTTAAACTTTCAGTGGTCATTTCGTAAATGGTTTAGTTTTACTATTTCATTGAGTGGACAGAAATTATTTCCTGTTAACAAAATGAGTGTAGTGTCTAAATAGCTATAAATACATTATTTAGGTTCTATAGTTTATCATACGCAATTACGAGTGAAACCGAAATTTGAATCATCGTGAAAACAATAGGTTTGCGTAAACTAGGAAACCGTTCCAAATAAAAGTAAATGTTTAAAAAAAAATACATATATTATACAATATTATTTATGTATAATAATATGCTGAGAACACGTTAAACAATTAAAATTCCATGTGGCGTCCTCCCATAACGGTGAAAACTCTAGTTTTTATTAAAATGTTAGTGTGTGTTAACACCGAACACCATCTTTTCTGATTACGCCGGAGAAGGTGTTTTGTGACGAAATACCGATGATTGGTTAACCTATTTGGAAAATACCAAAATCTTAAAACTGCGGTTTATGGTGTTGGTTTAGATAATTGGAGTTTACGCAAGTCACGTCAAATACGTAAATAGTTAACGCGATAAAAAAAAAAAAAATTACACGATTGTTTAGAAATAAAAATAATATTATATTATAACATTATGACGTATTATTATTTTAAAGTAATCTTCTGTCGATATCCATATAAAAAATATTTTAAATTAGCTTTAGGTGATTTTATTTTTCGTATGAGTCGTGACGGAATAATCAATCGGCCAATAGTCTCATTCAAACAATCGCATACGTAGAGCATCGCCTTAAATAGTATCCAACAATGCTGTGCAACCGTGGTCATAATGTATTATGTTTAATTCACATGATTTCTAAATCGTTTACACGGTAAGTAAACAATTACGTACGTGTGTTCAGCCGTCTCACACGCGTTTTGTTGTTGAAACGCATAAAATGAGCAAGTCATATAATACAGGTACGCGTTTTACTGACGCCACCGAACTTTGAACAATTATACACGATACCGTTATAGGTATTTATGTAGGGTATCTATACAATGCAATCATGTTAGAAAGTTATTCGGGGTTTTTTTATATAATATATTATTATTGATTTATTATTTTTTTTTCGAAATACAAGACACGTGTTCGGGATCAAACGCCGAAATTGGATTTACCGAATCTAAAAAAAAGGACTCATTGAAAAAGTATGAATAATTAAAAAATTGATCTGGAAAATTTAATTTTATACGCGTTTTTAAGTCACGAGCGTGTGGTTATTTTTTCAATTTACATATTAGATAAGTAGCCTACCTACTTTATGCGAGCCGATTAACAATGGTCTACTAGATTTTTGACTACTAATCAACAATATTATTGATCAATCTATTACTATTGTTCGATAAGACATAGTAAAAACGTTTAAAACTAAACGACTATTGTCCAACAAACCACTAGAGTTCCCAAAAAAATGATTTCTGTAATAATAGAATAGAACGTAAATATAAAAAAAAATAAATTAAAGAATAATTTGATCATAACACGGAATTGTAGTCAAATGATTACAACTGGATTTCCAATTCATTGCACAATAATAATGCTCCACCGCGGTGGACATATTGTACGAGCAGTCCGCGCTTCATTTAGCGACCCAAATCACGTAAACGGCTCCGAGAGTTAATTAAACATTGATTGTTCGCGGTTGACGTCCAGAAGAAAAATATGAGGGAATAGTAATAATATTAATAATAACCGTCGGACAAAATTGTTTACGTTTTGAGATTAATAAATCGTATCGTATTTTAAATGTCAATAAAATGCAACAATACTATCGTAATACAAGAGGAAGGAGCCTAAAAATGGAGTGCCAAGCATCCTCACCGCCATTTGTTTAAATTCCGATTTTTCGAATTTTAAAGTATGCTTAAGGACCAGATTTTGAAATATGTATAATGTATAATATAGATTTTTTATATACCATATAAGGAGTGTCCTGTGGTGATAACAGCTATACTATTTTCCAAATGAGAACAGGCCGACGTCGTATTATATTATATTATATTATATTTTATTATTATCATTACGCCTACCACGACGGATAATATTGTACAATTATTTTTATTATTACGCTGATGCCAACCATATAATGCAAATAACATTATAATACGCTGGTGCAGCAGATATCGTTTAAATCACAACAATCGCACTTATATAATATTGTGTACTCATAATGTCATACGCGTATATAATAGTAATTATATGAGAACCAGTCTTATTCGGTCATGGTTTTTCATCGTGAGAGGAGGGTGTAAGTTACGATTACGATATTGTACAACCGCGGTGTCACAATATTATTTATTATTTATTATTCTAATCACAAATCGAATTTTGAAGTATTGCAATACGCGCGATCGTCTCCCATCGACATTATTAATATCTGTGCGAGTCGGGTCAATGGTGTATACACATCGCCTGAGAGGACTTTATATCGACGAAAAGCATCTAGACGCGTCGCTTGAATAATATGAATAGCGATTGGATGTAATAGATAATAATATATTTTTGGTTTGTTATTATTATTTTTTGTTTTCAGTAGAAAAATAACGAACGTAAAAAACACAAGTAACGTTATTAGAAGATGCATGTGAAATGAGAGAAAACGCAACCGTCATAATAGGAATGCAATTTACATATATACACATACGCCGCCGCCGCGTGCAAGTAATTAGAATTGCACGGAGAACGCAAAAATAATTCTTAGCTCATTGTCTTACGACAACAGATTTCTATTTGAACGGTTGACTATAGACGTTTGTTATTGTTTTTTTTTTTTTTTTGTAATACATATTTTAGAGCCCGTAAACAGCTTCGATTATAATATATAAAAACACTATACGATCGATAAAATAATATCAAGAAGACTCGTCTGCACAGTTGTACCCAGTGTTGTAATGCTTGAGGTTCCCATAATTTTTTTTTTTTTCAAGCACGTAAAACGAGAGTTATATTATTGTAGCACACTATCCTCAATCCGTCATGTTGGACATTAAGTGAAACCGTTTAAACGCGTTATAAAATAAAATTTTAAAATTTTAAATATTTTAAGCTATGACTGGAGGTGTTATTAAATTTAATTAGAAATTTAACTACCAAACAAGACGATTACGACGCCACGTTTTATAATAATTAGCTGTCAGTGTGAATTGGAACAACCGGTTGAACAATATAATACGTACCTATACCTACTGCGGGCTACGGTGAATAACAATATAGGACATAGGAACCAGTAATCATATTATTATAATCTCTAGGTATAGTTAAATCGGTGCTTTTTTTATTGGGTGATTTCGATGCTTATAACTCGTTATAAGTTACAATTTTAATATGATTATTGCAATTTAATTAATTCTAAAGTTACTGGAATATAATACATATATTATGGAAGTAGACACAAAACGCTCTATTGTTGGTACAACTTACTACACACATAATAATATTATAATATACATGAGAAGATCTTTCTGATATTTCAAACGCAAGGCGCCAAATAATCAAAAGCACATAAGCACATAAACGCGAATACATTGTAATAATAATAATAATAATAATATGCTAATGTATTATTTTCGTTATCTTCTCTCATTTTCTTCCGAGAGCAATATATTATTAGCGAAATCAGACAAAATAAGATTTTGTGGAAATCACAATATGAACTGGCTGAAAGTACCTATAATAATAATAATAATACGATGATTGCATGAATTTATTTTGTCATAAATGAACAAAAGATCTATAAAACAATATTTTGATAATAATTGATTTTAAAAGTAAAAATGTTAATAAAAAAAAAAAATACAAAATCCGAGATGCAAAATGAATTGTACGAGTACAAAACGTAGGCACATAGTTAATAATTATTATGATATACATTTACGTCGTTGTTTCAGGACGTGCTGTGATACAATATGTTAATATGAAAATTAATTCGAGTTAACAATATTCACGACATTTTACCGGAAAAAAATAAAATAATTATAATATAACCTATGCTACACATGAGTAAACAGTTCAACCGATATTCAATCGCTGCCATTTTATTCGGACGTCAAAAGCGGTGGCGTGAGGGAGACATAATGACGTGTCCGATCAACCGATTTGCGAAACGTTCAATGTACACTCTATAATATCAGACGTTTCAATTTTATTACATTTATTTTTTGCATCACTTTTCGGACGTCAAAATGACGACAAATCTCTACAACTATACAATGCAGCCGTTCTAAACAGTATCACGTGACACGACCCAAGATCGGATGAACGATAATATTATTTATTTATGAATATGCGCGGCAAAAGGTCAACAACGAGTTGACCACAATATAATAATATTATAATAGGAAATTAGGAACCATATACTTTTCCGGTCAGTTAAAGAATTACAATAAACGTGACGACATTGACGTTCTGTCTGTTGGAGACTATTATTATATTATGTAGGTATATACTTGAATCGGCAAATATTGATGTATATTATACGCTTGTCATGTGGATATCGGTATTTGGCTATTATTTTTTGATTTTTTTCTCAGAGCCACGAGCACACTATAGACCTGCGAGTCGTATCGATAAAACACACTAAACGAT